GCGAGAGGGGTGGGAGGTGCGGGCGCTTTAGGAGTGGGAGGTGCGGGCGCTTAGGGGTGGATGGTGCAGGGCTGAGGGGCGCGAGGGGCGGGAGGTGCGGGCGCTGAGGGGCGGGAGGTGCGGGCGCTGAGAGGCGGGAGGTGCGGGCGCTGAGGGGCGGTAGGTGCGGGCGCCGAGGGGCGGGAGGTGCGGGCGGCGGGCGAGAATTGGCTACGCGATCGTCGGGATTGACTGATTGGGCGGCGGTGAAGGGGAGATTTTGAGGCCGATGTGGGGAAGAGGGGGAGGGATGCTGGGGGGAGGGGTGCTGGAGGGTTCCCCATGGAGAGGTGAAGGGGAGTGTGGGATGCAGAGAAGGGGATGCAAGGGAAGCTAGGGAGGCTCAGGGTTTATTGATTGAGGCGCGGCCGAGGATCGGGAAATGTGTACGCGAGGGCAGACCGAGGGGCGAGTGGACCGAGGGTACGAGGGCAATACTAGGTTACGAGAGAAGTCCGAGGTTACGAGGGAAGTCCGAGGTTACGAGGGAAGTCCGAGGTTACGAGGGAAGTCCGAGGTTACGAGGGAAGTCCGAGGTTACGAGGGAAGTCCGAGGTTACGAGGGAAGTCCGAGGTTACGAGGGAAGTCCGAGGTTACGAGGGAAGTCCGAGGTTACGAGGGAAGTCCGAGGTTACGAGGGAAGTCCGAGGTTACGAGGGAAGTCCGAGGTTACGAGGGAAGTCCGAGGTTACGAGGGAAGTCCGAGGTTACGAGGGAAGTCCGAGGTTACGAGGGAAGTCCGAGGTTACGAGGGAAGTCCGAGGTTACGAGGGAAGTCCGAGGTTACGAGGGAAGTCCGAGGTTACGAGGGAAGTCCGAGGTTACGAGGGAAGTCCGAGGTTACGAGGGAAGTCCGAGGTTACGAGGGAAGTCCGAGGTTACGAGGGAAGTCCGAGGTTACGAGGGAAGTCCGAGGTTACGAGGGAAGTCCGAGGTTACGAGGGAAGTCCGAGGTTACGAGGGAAGTCCGAGGTTACGAGGGAAGTCCGAGGTTACGAGGGAAGTCCGAGGTTACGAGGGAAGTCCGAGGTTACGAGGGAAGTCCGAGGTTACGAGGGAAGTCCGAGGTTACGAGGGAAGTCCGAGGTTACGAGGGAAGTCCGAGGTTACGAGGGAAGTCCGAGGTTACGAGGGAAGTCCGAGGTTACGAGGGAAGTCCGAGGTTACGAGGGAAGTCCGAGGTTACGAGGGAAGTCCGAGGTTACGAGGGAAGTCCGAGGTTACGAGGGAAGTCCGAGGTTACGAGGGAAGTCCGAGGTTACGAGGGAAGTCCGAGGTTACGAGGGAAGTCCGAGGTTANGTGCAGGCAGCAAGTGCAGGCAGCAAGTGCAGGCAGCAAGTGCAGGCAGCAAGTGCAGGCAGCAAGTGCAGGCAGTAAGTGCAGGCAGTAAGAGCGCTTGTCGCTCGCAGGTGCACGTGCTTTAAAAGTCACGTCAACAATGCCCACCCTGCATGCCGTCCGAGCCTCGAGTCTTCATGAGAAATAACTCATAATTTATCATTAAAGGAACGCATGTCGGTAAAATGCAAAGCAGCATTGTCATTTATATGTAACTGTGATAAGAAATAAGAAAGCTAAGTTTTATATGGGGTCTCTTTATGTGAGGGCTTCTGAGCAGAGGTACCCGACGCTGCTGTGCATGGCTGACGTACGATGCATCCACACCCATACTATTACCATAGGTGCATGGGTAAATGATCAAGTAGTGTACCTATAAACCCTAGAAATATTGAGTTCGAATGACATTTTAACAATTATCTGACGTAGATTGATTATTTTTAAATAATACTTTGTTGCCAACTTGAATGATTCTGTAACTGTACGACAACTGGGTAAAGCGTTTGGCACCAAATTGTTCTGTCACGTTGCGACGGGCAGTGTTGAACAAGGCAGTGTTTAGGGAGGGTGTGTGCTATAACGCTCCGTGTCTCCCTGCGTTCGGTGTTGACTGATTCGACACGTGCTTCCCTTTGTAAAAATTGTACATCATTTAAGTACGTTTCATGTGCATGAATGTCCGGAGAACTATTATACTAGCATAAGGCACGCTGATCACAGTGCTTTGATCTCTAATGTAACAGATAAGAAGTGGACATTTTTATCTTGAGACCAATTGTTACTGACATCGTATCGTGTGAAGATCAAACTAGTCACCCGCTTATCAGTGATCAATTAAACTTCATACGTCCTTATCTGCTGGACGATCGTGGGCTGGACAATCAATCATTGCTCGTAGAAACGCTTACTTTGGATAACATCACCGCCTCGCCTTAGCCATGTGAGTACTTCTGCTGCTTTTAACTTGTGCTTCATAATGTACATTACTCACACACTGAGTACAGAACTGGTGCTGCATGACCATCCTGTGGGAGGTGCTGCTGCTGCATGACCATCCTGTGGGAGTGCTGCTACTGCATGGCCATCCTGTGGAAGGTGCTGCTGCTGCTGCATGACCATCCTGTGGGAGGTGCAGCTACTGCATGACCATCCAGTGGGAGGTGCTGCTACTGCATGGCCATCCTGTGGAAGGTGCTGCTGCTGCTGCATGACCATCCTGTGGGAGGTGCAGCTACTGCATGACCATCCAGTGGGAGGTGCTGCTACTGCATGGCCATCCTGTGGGAGGTGNATGAAAGAGATTTGAGCAAATACCTGAAATATTTATTCTAAAGAATCGCTGTCAGATGGAAGCACTGAGGCCGAAGAACTGCGTTAAAACAAAGAGCTGTCGTCACTCGGAATACTTTGTTAATGTTAATTTTAAACCTGTGTCAGAGTTTCTAATACTTTTTTTAGTTGAATATGACTAATTAGCTGCCAATTCTATCCTAATTTTAACGTGGGTTTACTTCTTTTTAATTTTATTAATTAATTTCCAAGCATAGTTTTTCATTTCAGCAATATAACATTGTATTACATTCGATCGTCACCAGCTCATTGGAGTGAGAAGATGACAAGTGCTAATAAAGTGTTCTTTGTATATCTTGATGCCTTTCTTTATTCCAGCGACAGGCGAGTTAGCGAGTCCAAACGATGGCTAACATGAATGTATATATTCCTTATTCGCACAATTATGTATCCGTATAAGCATGGTGCATGAATTGTGAAAAGGATCAAGCACCGGAAACGTTTCTTGTAAAAGCAAATACGAGTAGTTAATGTTTTGCTGTGAACACGACTCACGCGTCGACCACCAGAACCTGTCTCTTATACACATCTAGATGTGTATAAGAGACAGGAGTAGGGGAGAGGGGTGCGAGAGATAAGTGAGAGGGGAGAGGGGGGGAGAGAGAGAGATAAGGGAGAGGAAGATGAGGGGGAGGGGGGGAGTTTCATCGATCGTTGGGCGGCAGTCTTGTAAGATGCCAGATTGTGGGAGTGGGGGAGGGACTGTGGGAGTAGTGGAGGGTCTGTGGGAGTGTAGGAGGGACTGTGCGAGTAGTGGAGGGACTGTGGGATTAGTGGAAGGACGGTGGGAGTAGTAGAGGGTCTGTGGGAGTAGTGGAGGGACTGTGGGAGTAGTGGAGGGACAATTGGAGTAGTGGAGGGTCTGTGGGAGTGGAAGAGAACTGTGGGAGTTGACAACTGTGGGAGTAGTGAAGAGACTAAGGGAGTAGCGGAGGGACTGTGGGAGTTGATGAGGGACTGTTTGAGTAATGGAGGGACTGTGGGAGTTGTGGAGAGACTGTGGGAGTTGAAGAGGGACTGCGGGAGAAGTGGGGAGACTGTGGGAGTTGAAGTGGGACTGCGGGAGAAGTGAAGAGACTGTGGGAGTTGAAGAGGGACTGTGGGAGTGGTGGAGGGACTTTGGGAGTAGTGGAGGGACTAAGGCAGTAATGGGGGGACTGTGGGAGTTGAAGAGGGACTGCGGGAGAAGTGGAGAGACTGTGGGAGTTGAGGAGGGACTGTGGGAGTAGTAGAGGGACTGTGGGAGTAGTAGAGGGACTGTGGGAGTGGGTGAGGGGCGGGTAGGGAGTGGGGGCAGCGGACATGAGCGTGTGGAGGTCTCTGGAATGGCTCGACCGCTGGCGCGGAATGGGCCACTTCTGGTGTGGCGGCCTGTAATGGGCGGCCTGTAATGGGTGGCCTGTAATGGGCGGCCTGTAATGGGCGGCCTGTAATGGGCGGCCTGTAATGGGCGGCCTGTAATGGACGGCCTGTAATGGGCGGCCTGCAAAGGGCGGCCTGTAATGGGCGGCCTGCAATGGGCGGCCTGTAATGGGCCTGTCTCTTATACACATCTAGATGTGTATAAGAGACAGGTCTCGTACTGGGGGATAAGATCGCTCAGCTTGAGTGGTTTGGGAACCCCGGTGTACATT